TCAAAAAATATATAAATAAAAGTGAATTAGTGATGATTAATTGCTATATATTTTAATCTTTCTTAATCTAGTAGAGTATACAGCCATATGCACTATTATCAATACCACATGAGGAAGTTTCTCCTGTCATTTTTTGGGGCTTTTTTATGTCACACCTGATGATGCTTCAAGGGTTATTCCTGGCTCTGCACTTAGAAGTTGCTTCTGGCAGTACTTGGGGGACCACATGGGATGTCAGGAATAAACATGGATTAACCGCAAGGCAAATGCCCTACCTACTGTACTGTTACTCCAGTTCTCTCTCTCCTGTCATTTAAAGAAGCTCTTTTAATGTTTCTTGCAAAATTGGTTTCAAGGGTGTGAATTCCCTAAGCTATTGCCCATCCATGAAGCTTGGTATCTGGCTGTATAGAGTATTCTTAGTGAGATACTTGTTTCATTGAGTTTTTGTCCTATATCTTGCCATAATCTTCTGGGTCATAGAGTTTCATTTGATAGATTTGCTATATATTCATTGGCTTTATTTTGCATATAAGTTAGATATGTATTTTTTATATTGCTGCATACAGTATTCTGTCACTGTCTTTGGAGTTTTTCATTTTGAGTATAATGTTTCTTGGTGTTTTTCCAATTGGATCTATTTTCACTAAGATCCTTCAGGCTTCTTAGGTCTTGGTGCCTATCATCTGGAAAGTTCTTATCAATGATTCTTACTGTTTCTTTATAATTGCCTTCTTTTTCTTCTGGGACTCTGATTCTTGTATTATTCCTCTTAAACTCATCCCATAATTCTTTGGTATGCTGTTCAGTTCTTTTCAGATTATTTTTCCACATTTTATTCTTTCCTAGTGTTTTCCTCCTCCTCGTCTTGGTGCTCCTTGATCTTTAGCTCAACTTCTGTCTTCAATCCTGTTCTTCAGAACTTCCATTATCTTTTTTCAAATATCACCACCATGATCTTAATTTCTTTCATTTATGACTTTAGTAGTTTTTCATTTTGGCTGTCATACTTTCTTGTACTTTCCTAACTACTTGTGCTATCATTTATTTGAACTACTGAACATTCTCATCGTAGTGTCACTAAGGACACTGTCTGAGGATTTTCTGGTGTTTTTTATGTCTTCAGTGACATTGTTTTCTCATCTTCTCATCCCCAGCATCTCATATGGTCCCCTGAGCACTTCCCTGAGTAATTCCCAAGTGCAAAGCCAAGAGTAACCCTTGAACACTACTAGATGTGTCCTAAACCCCCATCAAAAATATAGTTTACTCCCTCTGGAGGATACTGAGGAATGAGCTGGAAATTGTTCTCTATCTTTTCTGTCTGTTCTCATAGGATGACAAGAAGAATAACTGAGCAGCATGCAATTTGTTGAGTAGAGCAGTCATGCAGCTCCAGTTCTGGAATAGGAGAATGGAGGCAAACGTCACCTGAGATGGTTGAATGACAAGCCGAAGGTCCAGAAATGATTATATGTTATTTTAATAAAGAATGAGATAGTATGGGAGAGGAAATGATAAAATTGTGATTATATATGACAGACTGGTAAAATTAAAAAAAACTCATTGGGAAGCCAAGGTACCCAAACTAAGCTAAGAACCATATTTCAAGGAAAACAAGAAGAAATAAAAATAATTCATTGAAAAATATGCGAATAAAGTTACCAAAACATGGTACACAACGAAAGTTGTGCTAAGAGGAAAGTTATGCAAGCTATTAAGAAATAATAAAAGGCCCAAATAATTGTACAGCTTAAGACACTATTTTAAAAATCAGTAAAGGGAATACAAAGTAAGCAGAAGGAGGGGAATATTAAAAAACTTAAGCAGAAATCATTAAAATATAAGCTTCTCCTCCACCACAACCCCAGAAACAACAAAATCAGGAGCTGTTTTTTTTAAATTATGTATATATATTTTAAGAATAAACAAAGTTAAGAAACCATTAGCGAAACTGACAGAAAAAAGACAGGAAACTCCAATAAACTGAATAATGAATGAAAGAGGAACTGTTGCAACAGACAGTACTGTGATGATTCAAAGAATCATCAGAGATTACTGCCTAGGTATCCAAAAACACCTAGAAAACAATAGATACATTTTTGGCTTTTTGGGTCACACCCAGCAATGCACAGAGGTTTCTCCAGGTTCTGCAATGAAGAATTACTCCTGGTGGTGCTCAGGGGACTATATGGGATGCCAGGAATGGAACCTGAGTTGGCTGCATGCAAAGCAAACACCCTACCCGCTTTACTATCACTCCTGCCCCCAAATAGATAAATTTTTGGAATTCTATAAATCTTAACAGACCAATTGTCAACAAGAAATTTTATTTATTTTATTTTATTTTTGGGGGGTCACACCCAGCGATGCACAGGGGTTACTGCTGTGTGTGTGCTCAGAAATTACTCCTGGCAGTGCTCGGGGGACCATATGGGATGCTGAGAATCGAACCCAGGTCGGTGGCATGCAAGGCAAATGCTCTACTCGCTATCCTATTGCTCCAGCCCCAACAAGAAATTTTAAATTATTATTAAAAGTATCTCCACAAACAAAAGATACCAGACACAGAGGGGTTTACTAGCGAGTTTTTCAAACCTTCAAAGAAGATTTACTTTTAATCCTTCTCAGACTCTTCCAGAAAGTCAAAGAAACAGAAATCTTTCTGAACAGTTTCTGTGAAGCAATATTACTCTGGCACCAAGGCAGACAGAGACCACAGAAATTAAAATTATGGGCTAGTTAGTATCCATGACAAACATAGATGAAATATTCTTGACAAAAATCTCAGTGAATGAATCCAATAATACAGTAAAAGAATCATGATCCATCATCAAGAAGGATTTATCCCAGAGTTCAAGGATGGTTTGGTAAAGACAGATCTATCAATATAATATTCCACATCAATCTAAGGAAAAATAAAATCATATGATCACATCAGTAGAAACAGAGAAAGCATTCAATAAAGTCCAATATCAATCTTGATAAAACTCCCAACAAAATGGAGATAGAAGGAACTTTCCTTAATACACTTGACTTCATTTACCACATACCTTCAACTAACTTCATGTTCAGTGAGGAAAAACTGGAAGCCTTTCCTTTATGATCAGACTACAGAGCAGCTTGTCTATTCTCACTATTATTATTCAACATAGTACTGGAAGTCTTAGTCACAGCAATTAGGGAAGGAATAGATATTAAGGGCTTTCAGATTGGAAAGAAAATCAAACTCTATTTGCAGATGACCTGTACTATATTTAAAAAATCCTAAAGACTTCAAAAAATTGTATAAAAACAACAAAAAAGTGAAGTGACAGGATACAATATAAACATTCAGAAATTCGTAGTATTCATTTATTAAAACAATGAAATAAAAGAGAGAAAATTTTTCTAAAAATTAAATTCACCTTTTCCCCTCTGGAAAGCAAGATGGTGGCTGCCTTGAAGCCTTTTGGAAAGCCAGGTATGGGTCGTGACGGGGTGACTGAAACCTCATGGGAAGGGGGGATTTCCCGGCTCATCCTTCATGCCCTACCGAGGTCACGAGTTGTCCCCCACGAGCAGTTCTCTGGCACGGCCATGGCTCTAGAGCCACAGAAACCAATCTTATAATTATGTGACTCTCAGCAGAGATCCTTCCAGGCTTAATAAGTAAAATATCAGAAATCCAAAATTGCGTGGCCACTATTGTGGCCGCATGACATCATTTGGTTTTTGTAACCAGCTGTAGAAAACAAATTATTTCACAATGCCTTTTCAGCAGGTCTGATTTTGGGGTGTAAACTCTAAATAATAATGGTGCATCTTTTTTTGAAACAATGGATCTAATCAAAGTAGATAGAGTGTTAACTAGAATTCATCTGCCTCACAGGCATTGGGAGGGTTGGGGGGTATATTGGGGTTCTTGGTGGTGAAAAATAAGTACTGGTGAAGGGAAATGTGTTTGATGATTGCATGACTGAGACTTAAATCTGAAAGCTTTGTAACTTTTCCCACAGTGATTCAATAAATAAATTAACTTAAAAAATTAAATTCACATTTGTGTTCTGAAAAGAACTCAAGAAACTGGAAATCATATCAATTAAAGAGGTGAAAGACTAATACAAAGAAAACTCTAAGCCACTATTTAAAGAAATAAAATAAGGCATAAGGAAGTGGAAACACATCCTGTGTTTATGGATTATAAGAAATAACATTATTAAAATGACCATTATAACCAAAGTACCATACAGATTAGATGTGGTCCTTGTAAAATTTCATGTGACTTTTTATTTATGAGGGGGGTTCATGGAAAAAATATGCTTTAAAAATGTTTTTTTTTTTTTGTAATAAAAGCACTTTTAATTCATTTGATTCTCTCTGCATTGCAAGCTGTTGGTGGGTGTGGACAGCTGTGTAAGACCCATATACAGTACTAAGCCTGTAATCTCTGGTATCAAACATATGTATCTGTGTCGCTATGAAAAAAAAAACTTGATTTTGCTGCCCTTTGTCATGCAAAAGATATAATAAAATTATAAATATTTACAGCCTTGTTAAGGTCCTGTGATATGAAAACTCAGAGCACCAGGCCAGTGTGAGGGTGGGGAGTTGTCAGTGTGGGAAGTGTCCAGTGGAACTCCTCAAGCACAGGTAATCACATGGAATGGAGGGAAATGATAATTGTGCATTTGCCTTCCCCAGGAGGGCACCCCAGCACTAGAGGCAGATTGAAAAAAAAAAAGGAAAAAGTACTTACCATTTTTCCCCCTTAGTCTGGGCTTTTTCTTTCTTCATGCCCATTCTTTACGAGCAGACAAAAAACCCAACAGAGTTCAAAGATCTTAGAAAGAATACTTTCTCCCAGTGCCTGTAAATTAAAGGATTGTGTAAAGAAGTTACTTTAATCTAAATGTTCCACAGTGGAATGTACCCTTTCACTCCAGGAAGTTGAAGGATATGCCTAGGAGGCCAGTGGAAGGTCTGGGCTAGGTCTGAAACAGCATTTGCTGTGGGCAGTCATGGCAAAGATTCTGGAACAGTTCTTCACTTCTGTAGGTCTTCTGGTGTTTATACTCTACCTGGTGAAATGTCTGAGGTTCTCCATATGTATTTTCTTGCACTTCTGGAAAGTTCTGCGGAAGTCCTTCTTAAAGTCAATGGGGCAGTGGGCAGGTAAAGAAAGTTTTCAATTTCCTGTGGATTTGGTTGCTTCTACTTATTATTATTTATGTCACAAAGGATATACTTATTGAATCTTAATTTGATAATGAAACTGTAATTTGTGTGATTTATGTTTGATAAAGTATTGATAGTAAAAGGAATGAGCATAATTAGAATTTTCTGAAAAATAAGAGACTTGAGGAGAATAAGGAAAATGCTATTCAGTTCCCACATATTTGACTTTCTAATCCACTAATTGGGTTTGCTTATTCTTGGAGCTTGTATTGATTAATATTAAATTATTAGAAATTCTACATCCTGTTATCCAGATTTTAAAAAGCTTAGAGTGCTTCTTTTTGGTTAAGGGGTGCTTTAAAATTCTAAAAAATTCTTATTCTCAATAGTAAAAAATATTTCTCTGATTCTTATAAATAGAGGTATCTAAAACTAAGGAATTCACATATCTATGGGCTATATTTTTAAGATGAGGAATATCTTGATAAACCCAAGATAGATAAAGAATCTGTCTCTTGTTTGTGTCTGAAGTTGATTAAAAAATTTGTGCTGCCAGTGAGATTTCTCTCTAAAACAACCATTTAAGTTTTAGCTCTATGACAAAATTTAAGATAAACAGCATGAATGAGACTGCAGTTTCAGTATCTCTTTGAAAAAAGTGCTAAGATTACATTCTGAAGTTCGGCAGCAAGAAACTTAATGACTTTAAAAAGTGATTTAGTATGTGTACTGAAAGTAGATAATGGACCAAACATGATAACCTCTCAGAATCTGCAATGCAAATCACAATGCCCAAAAGTAGAGAGAGAGTGTGAAGAATATTGTCTGCCATGGAGGCAGAGGGAGTGTGGGAAAGGGGGGTTATACCGGGAATATTGGTGGTGGGAAATGTGCACTGGTGGAGGGATGGGTTTTTGATCATTGTGTGATTGTAACCCAAACATGAAAGCCTGTAACTATCTCACGGTGATTCAATAAAATTTAAATTAAAAAATGATTTAGGAAAATGATTTCAAGTTAAGTAGAAGGAATTGTAATCCACTATATTGAAAGGAATAAATTGTAAACAACTGCTAGGTAAAGTGTACGGCATGTGAATTTTAGAAAAATAAGGAACAATTTTTCACTAATGTCATTTCAAATATTGCATGGGACAAACTTATACTAAAATTTTATCGTTGCTTACCCTAAAATTAAAATTTAGGTGGGCATTCTGTATGCTTGTATGCTGAAGTTGGTAAGCTTACAAGCTTAGCAATGAAAAATTTAAAATACCTTATGAAAATTTTTCGGAATTAAAAATGGGTCTTTGTTGCCTGTTATATTGGCTCTCTCTCTCTCTCTCTCTCTCTCTCTCTCTCTCTCTCTCTCTCTCTCTCTTTTTCTCTGAGTTCCTTTGCTCTGAGGGCAGGATTCTGCCTCCCAGTAAACTTGGAAGCCATGTTGAGTGTCAAAGTTCTGGGTACAATACCCTGTCCATACAGATTCAGATGAGAGTATTTAGGATTCTGTATTGTGCCCATCAATGTGGAACATTCCAAGAATACATGTTTCAAAAGAAGTCACAAAATACAAAAATTATTGCCAGCATTTGTTGACTGAATTTAAAAATATAATATTAACATATCTTTAGAGTCTATATTGAATAGTTTTCTCTTACAGAAGTAAAATTTTGGGGGTATAAACATTGGTTGGGGAGTTAGTATATAGCAAGTGGGAGCAATAAGAAAATATAGTGGACACTAAAATTTTGATTACCACCCTCCCTCCCATTTTTGGCAGTGTAGCTTTATTTATGAATTTCATCTTTCTTGTCTTAATATATAAACTAAGAAAGACTATTTTGGTCCCTGAAAATAGTCTTGTTGTGAACACTTAATTGAAATGACACATCTAAAACACTGGAAACAGGCATGACTGAAAGAAAAAAACTGGTAGGCTATGGTCGTTAGATTGATGTTAATAACAGCACAATATATTGGTGATTTTGAAGATTCCCCTCAGTGGGAGAGAAGGAGGTGAAGCAGAAATCAACCATGGATTCACTTAAACCAATAAAACAAACATAAAATCATTAGTATTACAATGGGATTCTTCTGCCAATGTTTTGTGTGAAACTTGAACAACTTGGTATGTATCTTTTGTTCACATTTTTGCAGAGTGGCACTATAGCACTGTCCTCCCATCATTAATCGATTTGCTCCAGTGGTCTCAGTAACGTCTTCATTTTGAGACTTCTTGTTACTGTGTTTGGCATATTGAATACGTCACGGGTAGCTTGCCAGGCTTTGCCGTGCGAGCCGTGCAAGTGAGATACTCTCAGTAGCTTGCTGAGCTCTCCGGGAGGGGCGGAGGAATCAAACCCGGCTTGGCTGGGTTGGCTGCACACAAGTCAAATGCCCTGCTGCTGTGCTATCGCTCCAGCTCATTTTTGGAAAGTACACACTTCAATTGCTGGTACAGGGTACATTTCAGATCTACTGAATTGTAGTGTGCTCCGAAATTTTGATGTTTACACAAGTAATATAAGTATATATGCAATGCTCAATCTATAAGGATGAGATGGCTAATTTGTTATATATTTTTATATATTTGAATGCAAGTATATACATATATTCACTGAACACAAATTCATCAGGGCCCCCTTTGTCTCCTCTTTTTGTAATTTTCTCTACTGACTTTTGTATCTTCTATGTTTTGATATCTATCACTACTGTCCTGTGGAAGAAGGGCTAGGAAGCAGGAAGAATCTTGACATCTCCTTAGAGTGACAGTTGAGTTGTGAGCAGAAATATATTAATCTACTTGCCTGTGATGATTCGGAGTTTATCTAGCCCCTCTGGGGTCTGAATGAAGTATTATCTACACCTTGATTCATCTTGGAACATATGTGCCATAGCTTCACCAACCCTTCACTTAGCAAGACAGACAAGCTTTCCTGTGTGTTGATTCTTGGCTGGTGAGGATATTGTGGTGACATGCTCTTTGAAGAGATGTGAAATTGTACCCCTAAAACATACAGTCCTTTTAAATTTGAGCTTAATTTTGACGACTTGAAGAATGGTGTCAAAGACTGATGTCTTGAATCTTGCCAAGCTGGTTTTATAGCCCTCACCACAGGGCTGGCTGCAGAGAATGGAACAAATAAACACACAGACTACCCAAACTTTAGGGTCATCTGAATACCATCTATGTTCTCACAATTTCAATACAATAGTATCACCGCTCAACTTGGGCTCTCAACAGTGAGCTGATAGAGACAGTAAGTACATAAAAAACAATAGGTCCATAAAGAGCAGAGGTTGCTGATTCTCCTAGCTTATCAGCAGACACCCTTAGGGTTATAGTCCTGGCAGTTTCCTGTCTATTTTTTGTATTTTTTGACTTTCTGGGTCACACCTGGCAATGCTTATGGGACTATATGGGTTGCTGAGGACTGCCCCAGTAGAACACATGCAAGTAAACTCTTACTCCTTGTACTATCTCTGATCCCCATTCTTATTCTATTTTTACCCACGTTGTCATAAAAAAGGTCTAAACTATTTTATTTTATGCTTGCCTAGGTGCAAGCTTGCCAGCAGACATTTGTGATCTATTCTTTGCTGACTGTACTTTGAGAATCTTTTGTATTTTAAGACCTAAAATGTTTACCCAGAGGAGTATCCCATCCTTGAGGTTCTTTGTTAGGGAAATGATTTCCCACATACTGAAAATTTTACATGGGAGAGGAATGGATCTGGATCGTGATACTTTCTTGGAATATTTAGCATCTAAATTAGGGTTGGGGAATATCCGACTCATGGACTATTTAAGGCCTATGAAATCATGTGATTTTATCCTGATACTTGGTGGACTAGACACATATGCTTTTTTTGTTGTTGTTGACCACCTGCAGTCCATATGCCTGTATTATATGACTCACAAATGATGTTTTTGATATCTCAGTTGCCCTTAGAATAAAAGGCTCCCCACTGCTGGTCTAGGCAGTAGGCATTGCAAGAAAATGTGGCTAGTGAGAAAGACAGTTTTATAGTTAATTCTTTCCTGTAAAGCCACTTCTGTTTTTATTTATTTATTTATTTTTTATTTTTTGCAGTGATCACTGGAGCAGGAGATGGGATTGGGAAAGCTTATGCATTTGAGGTAAGTTATTTTCAATAAAGACTTGCTCCTGTCTGGCTTAGAACACACCCTACTGCTATAATACTCCCCTACACAATTATGAGTTTTATGATCCCTAATTTAGTAGTCATTGTTTAAAAATAAAGATATTTTGTATTAAAATGAGAATTTTAGGAGCTGGAGCAATGGTGCAGCAGGAAGAGCACTTGCCTTGCATTGACTGACCCAGTTTTGATCCCCTGTATATGGTCCCCTGAGCCCCACTAGGAATGCTCTCTGGGTAGTGCAGAGCCAGGAGTAAGCCCTGAGCACCACCAGGTATGGCCGCCAAAACAAAACTCCAAAAACAAAGCACAACAACAAAAAAAGGAGAAAGGAAAAAAGGGGGAAATTTTAGAATCGTAATCTCCTTTTTTAGAAAACGTTAAAGAAATATACTGATACTAAAAGGGGCCCAGTATCTAACCTTGGGACTTGTTTTGATAATTTGTGGGACAACTGTTATTTTCTAGTGTAATTATACTCTAAGTATTTCTATACTTAAATGCAACAAAAATTCTATACTTCTTTCCTTTTCTCATTTAAATTATAAATATGGCATATGTTTTTAATAGAAAATTACTTCATGAGGACTGACATGTTGCTTATGATTTTCATTTACAAATAACGGACATTTCAAAATATTATACAAAAAAGAGAGTCAAATACAATAGGACTGAAAGATATTGGAATAAGATCATTGAGTGTTCCTTTCAGGCTTGTTTATTTACAGACATATTGGTAGATAATTCTACTTAAAAATTTATTTAAGTAGGAACAGAAAAATGGTAGTGGAGATATAGTGCATACCTTACATACATCGAGCACAAGTCAATATCTGCATCATATCAGGTCTCCCAAGGACTGACAGGGGTCATTTCTGAGCACAGAGCCAGGAATAGCCCATGAGCACCTCTGGTTGTATTGTACTCCCACTCCCAATGAATTTATAGTGTATGTACTGTGCTGATGTTTTTACAAATTATACATTTTCATTTGTGGAGCACTTTTTCCTGGAACTTATTTTGGGGCCACACCTTGCTATGCTCAGGACTTACTCCTGACTCTGCACTCAGGGATCACTCCTGGTGGACTTAGGGGACTACGTGTGGGGCTAGGGATCAAATCTGGCTTGGGTATGTGCAAGGCAAGGGCTTTACCCACTGTACTATCTCTCTGGCCCTGGAATACCTTAATTTTTATATCTTACTGATGACTGTAACAGTGACCTGTAGGACTATGTAAAATATAATAGAAGAAATAGGGAATATCCTAGCAATTACAAGATCACTTGATCACTTGATCACTTGACTTCCCATTAATCGTCAATTTGCTCGAGTGGGCGCCAGTAACGTCTCCATTTGTCGCTGTCGCGTGCTAGTGTAGCCCAATGGCATCTGTTCGCTCTAGGAACACAAAGAGCCTCAAACCGATCATTCATGATCTTGATGAAGAAGTCTGACCATCTGGTAGGTGGGCGGCCATGCGGTCTTTTCACATCCCGTGGAATCCAGTCGGTAACAGCGCTAGTGCAGCGGTAGTCTTTAAATCTCATTACATGACCAGCCCATCTGATTTTTGACACCTTGGCAAACGAGACAGCGTCCCTGATTCTTGATCGTTGACGGAGGTCGGAACTCCGGATTCTTTCTCTCACTTGAGTTAACCGTGGTATTCCAAGCATAGTTCTTTCGATTCCTCTTTGGTAGACCCGAATAGCGTTCTCATCCTGTTTGCATAGGGCCAGGTCTCTGAGGCTTATGTTAATGCAGGAAGAACAGTGGAATCAAAAAGACGTGCCCGGAGCTGGAGGTTCTTCGTCCTCTTAACTATTTCTTCGATGCTCTTGAAGGCATTCCAAGCCGCTCTCTTCCTCCTGCGCAGTTCGGGTGCCAGGTCATTTGTCATGGTGACTTCTCGACCTAGGTACACATAGCTGTTGCATTCGGAGATGGTCGTTCTATTGAGAGCGAATGGGGCATCAGGAACGAGGCTGTTTCTCATAAACATTGTCTTCATAAGTTTTAGCTGTAGTCCAACCTTTCCACACTCACAGTCGAAGTCGGCCAGCATTTGTGCTGCTTGGCTAATGTTTGGTGTTATTAAAACAATGTCATCAGCAAAGCGGAGGTGATGTAGTTGCCGACCATCTATCTTCACTCCCATTCCTTTCCATTATAGTCATCGCATGATATTCTTGAGGGTGGCACTCTTCAGCAATTACAAGATGGATTTTAAAATAACATCTTTTCATTATAGAAAAACCATTTCTATTCATTAAATTAAAAATATCTTATAAAAACTTAATTTAAAATTAAGCAGTGTTTAAGCTTCTAAAATGCACAGGTACATTGGTCTCCCAGATGGAAACTCTGGGTTGCCTTCAGGATGGGGGCCGGTAGACGCCCCTCCTTGGTGAAGTCCCAACAGCTGCACCTCTATCCAACAACTGCCGCCATACCATGATCCAACTCCACTGCTTCTGGACTAATCTCTGCAGAGACGCCATCCAGATGAAAATTCAAGCTACACTGGTTTTCAGGCTGAGAACTCCTCAGAATGAGGGTGGGCAGCATCCCCTAAACCCTATACCTCCAGAGCCCTGACAGCCACATCCCATCCCAAAGCTGCCATCATATAAGCTGATTGGCTCAGTTCTACAGATACTGGAGCTCCTGGAGTGTGTGGATACATCTCAAATTTCACAATACTGATATCTCAATAGGAGCACAGCAAATTAGATAGAAGCCAACTAAGCTAAGCCAACTAAGCCAACTAAGTAAACAAAAATAATAGCACAGGAAGTTCAACTATCAACAAACACCTTGGTAAACTCTCAGACAAGGACTTATTAAGCCCATAGTAAGATATAACAATTTTCATTAGATTTTTTAATAAATATTTTTACAAATATAAATAATATAAATACAAATATAACAAAATATTTTAACAAATATTTTAATAAGTATTAAAAAGAATTCCATCAGTCATTTAGTTGCAACAAGTGATATAAAATATAAATTTTTTTGTTTTCTGCTAAGGGGAGAGGCTTGGGCGGTTGGTGGGAAACTGGGGACAATGGTTATGGGAAGGTTGCACTGGTAGTGACTTTGGTGTAAAAAATAAAATAAAACTAGTAGCATTTTACAATTCATTGTTGAGGTGGTTACATTTAATTGTACTCAGAGGGTGAGATTATGGAGATTGAACCCACTTGACCTACTTCCCTGGAACCCAAATGTGCAGGACTTTTACACAAAATCAAAAAACTCTATTGAGAAATATGAGTTGACCTAAGGAAGACAGAATGGCACATTCTGAAAAGAAAGACTTAAAATCTGGCAGTTATTCCAGGATTCATATCAAGTCCAATGTTATATATATGCATTAAAATATTGCCTTTGGTTTTGAGCATTTTCTAAAGTTAAAAACCTTTTTTTGGAGATGTTGAGGCTACACTCAGTTTCTTAGAGACTACTCCTGGTTTTGAGCTCAGGGATCACTGCAAGGCAAGCATCCTACCTACTGTTCTATCTCTCTACGCCCTCCCCCCAACTGTTTTTCCAAATGCCAACATAATTTTCCATCAAAAGGATGCCTCATAATTAGTACTTTTTTGGGAAAAGTTTATCTTTTTCTAACTTTTCTTCATTTTATACAATTGGGAACCTGTGTATAAATACAGAAAAAAATTCTATTCTTGGTTATGTTGGAGACTATTTTCCTTGAAGTAGACTTGCTGGTTTGGAAGTTATGACATGAATAAGACTCTTGTGCTTGGACTGAGACTGGGTTTGGGTTTATGAGGCAGAGGACAATAAGACAATGGTGGAGGAAAAGGGATACTCTTGGAGGGGGAGGGTGTAGTGTTGGAACATTGTATGCATGAAACCCTATAATCACCAGTATTATTTTTAAAAGCCATGATGAGCTGATAGTATCCCTTATTCTCCTATTTCCCTTTGTACCCTCCTGATAATAACAAAAAGAGGGAACTAAACTGTTTCTGAGATAGTGGGTTTTGTCTCTGATATTTCTGGTACTTTTCTTTGCTTAATTCTGTAGCTGGCAATTTGAAGAGGTAACATCTTCACGGGTTATAATTGTTGTGGACAATAGAAATATTTGTGCATAAGGTCTTTCATCTTCTTCTTTAGATTGCTTGCTTATACTTAGGCCATACTTTTGTACACAAAAAGATAAGTAAATTCTGCTTAAGACTTTATGAGTTAAACTTGTACCAGTTTTCTAGGATGAACTTCAAAGGTGAATTCTAAGGGATGGATTGTTTCTTCTCTAGGGAAGAAGGGAAAACAAAGGAATCTAATAGACAGAAAGACAGACTAGTACTCCTGACCTCCCCTTCAGAGGAAAGAGAGAGCTAAATGAGTTTTCTCTCATTTTCTAAAACTGTGCCCTTAATTATTATAATTAATTTTATTATAACACCAGATTTATCAAGTTGTTCATAATACAGTTGTTGCAGGCATTAAATGTTACAACACCAATCCCATCACCATCGTGACCTTCTCTTCACCAATGTCTCCAACTTCCCATCTACCACCCTAGCCTGTCTCCTTAGCAGGCACAAAGTGTATCATATTATTGTTACAACACAAAGGCAAATGGAATTATCAAAACTTGTATTAATAAAAATCACGTTGTGATAATTATTATTTCTCACAGTGATTTTACTGAAGTCATTGTCTGGGGATTTACTGAACTGGTGGTACCTTCTATGTCTCTTTTTGCTCATTAAGCTAAATGGTCTTATATGAAACTTTCCCATCAGGTTTGCTGTGACCCTAATATGGAAAGTATCATGCTAAGCGAAATGAGTCAGAAAGAGAGGGATAGACATAGAAAGATTGCATTCATCTGGGGGATATAAAGTAACAAAGTATGAGATTAATACCCAAGAATAGCTGATATCAGCACCAGGAGGATTACTCCATAACTTAGAGGCCAGCCGGGTATCCTAG